CCTGCCCACCGGAGACACGAACGGCGGCCCTCGCACGATAGCGAGCACCGACGGGGTGATTCCTCCCTGGCTGGCAAAATACGAGGGCGTCGTCCCCGCTCTGTGGAACAACGCAGACGCCAACGCCATCGGAATGGCCCTCTACTCGCAGAGTCCCGCCGTCGATGCCCGGTCCTTGTTGATGTCTGGGATGCGGCCTCCTAAGTACCTCGACAAAGAGGACGTGGATGGCATTTTCCGAAAACTTCACGACTCGCTCCGAGACGAAGTTCTTGACGGCAAGTACCGTGACACGGTCGACCACAACGTGGAAGAGTGGGTCGCAAAGGCGATCTTGGTAAGGGGTCTTGCCTTCAACGGGAGCTCCGTCCCCGACTTCTTCGAAGAATATGAGGGATATGCGGCTGAGTGGGGCAGACGCCTAACCACCGCAAACTTCAACGCCAACCGGTGCGGCTTTTACACGTCCTACTACATGGTTGAGGCCCATATCATTGGGCTGAGATCAGGGCACCTTTCTCCGATACTCCCCAACGATGTGTCCGGGGAGGGGTTCAAGGCCCAGGTGGGGCTGCTCGCACAGCACTGCGGGATAATGCAGGCCATGCGGAGAAAGGCCGGATTCGATCCCGCCGCGCGCCTCAAACAGGCCATGGACACGATACGGGAAGGCATTAAGAAGGGATACATCTACACGCTCAACGACCTCAGCAGTATGGATGATCTGATCTACCGGACGTCCACCGTTGCCTACGACACATGCTTGGCCGACCGTCCTCAAACCCAGGATGACATCAAACAGGAGCTGGCTGACCCTGTACCAAGGAAATACCGCTTCCGACCCCGCGATCGCCATCGACCCGGAATTCGCCTTACACCAGGCCCCGGCGTGAAAGACGAAGACGAGCCCGACTTTGCTGGATCAGCGGAGGATGAGCTGGGATCGGATGGGTCTTCGCACAAAGATGACGAGAAGCCTGACGACCTTGACGAGCCCATGGGCGACGACGAGGAGGAGATCCCTCCCCCTCCGCCACCGCCCCCGGCTCCTCCTGCGCCGCCTATCCCGGTAGAACCGGAGACTCCCGTGGTGTCGCACGCAGGCGTCGGTTCTGGCGAAGCTGTACCAACTCCTCCTCCTCCTCCTCCCGCTCCCATTGCTGCGGGCGTTACCACGGCTGGGGATCCGTTTGAGGAAGAGGACATGGCCATCAATACTCGTGTCCCTGACACCGAGTCCGAGCTGGAGGGTGAGTCCGACCAACCCAAGGCCAGGAGGACATCCCGTGGTCGGGTCCCCGCGCCCGAGAAAGGGCAGGGGGGCGTTCAAGTCCCGCCTGGCGGGCAACCCAGCTCTAAGAGCATGGCCCAGCCTGCCCGTCCATCCCCGGTCCCCGCGAGAAGCGGTGCGGAAGGGGGGGAGAGAAGGGGCAGAACCAAGGGCTTCTACACCCAGAAGGATCCTTTTACCGGCGAGGACGCGACTCCCCGGGTTCGTCTTCGATCGGGCGGTCCCGGAACTCCTGCGTCCCCACCACGGGATGCCACCGGTTCCTTGGGCGGCCATGGCGGCTATGACCCGCGCGATGACGACAACGATGAGTGGGAGCTTCCCCCGGGCGTGCCTCGGACCACTCGTGCGGCCAATGAGTCACGGCCCCACCGGGATGACGATCGGTCAAGGACCGCGCTTGGGGCCCGCGAGGATCGTCGCGGCCCTAAGGGTGAGGGGAAGGGTCGAGGAAAACATCGACCTGGCAAAGGTGGACGCGAGGATCCTGGCCCGCCCCGACAAAGGGATGATCGTGGCAGGGATACCCGCGGAGGCCGACGCGATGATCGCCGACCTCCTCCACGTCATGAGGAGCCATCCGAGAGGCGCGGTCCGGGGCGAGATGAGCGCCGCGGACGTGATGACCCGGCTGATGACCGTCGCGATCGCCACCGGGACCGGCGCAGGGATGACCGACGTCACCAATCAGATCCCCCTCCGCCTCGCCGACCTCCGGCTGGCGACCACAGTAGGGGTGGTGGTGAGGATCGCCGTCGGGATGGAGGAGGTGATCGAGGTGACCGCGGTGGACGCCGGAGAGACGACGCGCCCAGAGACCGGGAAGAACCTGGTTCGGGGTGGTAGGCAGGTACCGCGATCAGCATCCGCCTTAGAAGGGCGAGGATGGCACGTGTGTCGCCGAAAAACGCGACCGCGCCGGTCCTCCTCTCGCCCATGCGGCACTGCTGGGGGTGATGGTCTCCATTGCCCTGTACCGCTGATCCGGCGTTGTTCGTGTCCCTCCCGCACCGCTGCCGGCGATCCTGTGTGAGGCTGTGACCGCACTAGAAGTGCCGGGCCGGCCGTAGCCGGATATTTTCACACCAGTTTCGGAACTTCCTTTTCTTATTTTCTCCCAACTCGACTACTCCTCCAACCACTTCACGGCATGCAGTGAGGCGCGGTGATCCAGATAGGGTCCCCCTCCGCATGTCGCCGTCCCATGACAATGCCTGAACGGCACGAGAGGAATCTTCGTCTGGTTCCTCCAATATGTCATTGTTCACTCATGTGGTCCACTCGTCAAATAATCCTGTCGCCCCGATAATTCGGGGTGGTGGCGGGATTTTAACCGGGGCCCAGGTGATGCCGTTTGGCTCACCTCTGAGTTGACACCGGCATTTTTGGTTGGTCCCTTTCGTCGTGAACTCAACTGTCTCGCATCCTTTCTCTCTTCCAGATATCGGATGAGGGGGGTGTGTTTTGTTCACGTGTTGTTTCATCATGTGGCAAAACGGCCGAATGGCCGTTTGGCTCAAGTTTTGGGAACTCCCGTCAAGTTCCCCTCGGGTTCACGCGCGAACGCCATACCCTGGCATTGCTCTTCGTCAGCGCAAAAGGCTTTGCGGTGCCGCGGTGCTCTGGGGGTAGGAGGTGTTCGGTGGGCCGTCGAGGTGTCCTTGGGCCTGTCCCTCAAAGCTACTATTTGCAACCATATTCTAACACTCCCAAACCTGATCTTCTTCAACTGTCACTCCCACAATCTGGTCACCGGCACCTTCTACATTGTGCTTTGGGACTGGGTTCTTTTGGTATTTCGTGAACCACGTGTACCTCTTTGATTCCCTGGGCTACTTCGTGTTCGCCCAAAACCGCAGAACCTAAACAAGGGGGTCCCAACCAAAAGGAGTGTCCTGGTTTTTGCGGGTTCCATGCTTGCAGCAGTAATTATTCACCAGGCTTCAGCAGTCTCGCTGGGCGAAACTTACCCGTGTTGGCCCCAGCTTCCCAAAAGGCGGCCGCAAGGGGATGGACATCTTCCTTTTTGCCCGTCCACCTCTTGCGGCTTCGGGTTGGCTTCAGCATCCTTTGGACAGGTCAACGTTGGTCGAAAATTCGGGGAACCATGGGTTTGTTGACAGGACTTTATTAAACGGGGACATGGCGGACTCGCTAAGCTGGAAAGTCTGAATAGGTCATGGACCCCCGAATAAATGTATAGTGAGGGCGGTCCGGAATCATCAATATACTTATACATGTATTTTCGAGGGTGTGCCTTGGTGGGAAACATGGCTCCGATTTGAGTGTTTCCTTCTTTCGGGCTTTGCCGATTTCGCACATGGCTCCGATTTGAGTGTTTCCTTCTTTCGGGTTTTGCCGATTTCGCGAGCACGTCCCCGCGAACGAGCAACCTGAAATCCCGCAAGGTGGCCAAAATCCTAAACCCAAATCCCCCTCAAAAAGAGAAAGCCCCACCCAAACCCGATTTCAAGCCCGAACCTCTAGACTCAACCCCTCAACCCTAAACCCCTCCACTCAACCCCGGTGGCTGTCATGTTCCTCGAGCTGTCGCCCTGTTCCAAGGTCAGCAGCCGCCCTCAAGCCCCAAAACCGCCAGTCCTTCTGCGACACCGCGGCCCGGCTGAAGCCGCGTCGGCGTTGTTGCTTAAGTTTTCCCTGCGATGGGATTCAGGGCAGGCGAAAAATAACCTAAATACCCCTCGGTTGGTGGTGACGACTGGGGTCACTGGGGTTTGACCCCTTCACATGGCTGTGGCTCAGAAAACCGGAATTCCAAAATGGAACCCTGGTAAGTGGAAACATGGACCAAAACCTGCGGTTTGCCCCTCCTGGGTAATTTTCAGCCACACCCACATGGCAACCTACTTACTATGAGGTAGCCCTGAGTTGGTGGATTGGATTTGCGTCGATTTGGATTTGACCGCCTGGTTCGGGAAGCAGCGGTTCCATGGGGTTCCCACCCCGAAGAAGCTGACAAAGGGCGGGGAAAAGCGGGGGCCAAGTGAGCCAAATGGAGCTCAACTTGAGGGGAAAAGCCTCTTCGAGGCGAAGCATGTGGCGCAAGTGCCAAACAAGGGCTCAGGGCAGAGGTTCAGCAGTCCGCCGCGCTTGGCTCAAGTCTTTGAGTGGTCCATCGGATCTTGCGCGGGCATCAACTCGCTCCCTGAGTTCCTTTTCGGGAAGACCATGGTTGTAGCAAAAAAGCAAGGTTTGCACTTGTTTGGTCCATCCCCTCAGGAAGTGAGATGAGGAGCAAATCAGATACAACCTGGTTTCAGCGCATATTCATCCGGTTGCGACCGCCCCTTGAGTCAGACCTGAGCAGTTTCGAAGGAGCCGACAAACAACGGGCTTCAATTCGATGCTGCGACCTTGACTCAGCTGCTGAAAGCCTTGCTCGACCTTTTGGCAAACGCATTTATATAGCCAAGAGACTACTTCCTCCCTGAAGAGACTACCTCCTGAGTTTCCTTTTGTAAAGCGCAGGTTAGTGGTAGACATCTGAACTTGTTGTTGACCAATCCACTCAGAAAGTGAGTAATTGCTTCGTGGACCAGCTGGCTGGTTAATCTATAAGTATAGGGCTCCATCCATCCAACTGGTGCAGGATTTGTCATCCGCAAAACTTAGCCAAGATTCCAACAAATCAATTCACCTTTGATTTCCACGTCTTTTGCTACAAGTAAGATAAGCTCACCGCAATGCGATGGGAGCTGCCTCTTCCAGATGCAGGACATCTTTCTTCGAAGATGAATTTCGAGCCATGGCTGGCAGTCGGGGGGAGGGGGTCCCCTCATTCCACTATTTGGGGGCCGGTGACAAGTTTTGCCTCCAATCCGCATGCTTCTTCTTGTTTTGCATTAAAATGCGGGGCAACCGGCAAGAAAACCTAGCACAAGCAGTTTTCATGTGGGTCCCCTATGAGATCCCTTTGCCCCCTCCCCCCCCCTCAGCCCAAAAACCTCGAGCCATGTGAGATGGGCCTAAACGGTTCGCATTTTTTTTTGTCGCTACTTGCAATGGCTCGCTGGTGCGACAGGTAGGGAATGACCTGCCGGGTGTTGGGAATTCCCGGAAAGGAAACCATGGGGCGTGGTTTATATGGGGTCATTCCCTCAGTCCCTGCTGAGAACCAGGTAGCGTCACAGGTTCAATTGCTCTCCATGCTTTTGCCTCGCTCTGAATCAGACTGTGATATTTGCACCTGTCTTTTGAAGGAGAGAGCCCTTTGTTTTTGTGTCTTTTACAAGGGGAACCGACAGGAAACTCGCATCGCGCCGCATTTGGGGGTGTCCCTGAGGGGGATGTGACGTACGGGTCCGGAACCTCAGGAGTGGATGACTCACGGTTCATCGACCCAGCCTTCCCTCCGGTGCCAAGCTCCTTGGGCTTCCCGGCTGCAACCTTTCCTTCCATTTGCCGAAGTGTTTTCTCTTTTTTTTAAAGGAAAACAAATCCTTTGTTGGTTTTAAAGGGAATCTATCACTACTGGAAATATTTTATTTTTTTCAGGGGGCTTAATATGTCAGTTTTATTTATTTATTTTATTTTTTGTTGGGGGGGAAAGCTGAGCCACGATTTCTCCATGTACCCTCCGGGTTACCCTCCCACCAACTAACACATGGAACCTCATGAAACCTGACGTTCAGGGGGTCCGAGTTTGGAGCATCTTCCTTTTGAAGAGACCGGGCGGTTCCATGTTAATTGGAGGGAGGGCATATGGTGCCCTTTTTCCCCTATAGGAAGACTGGACAAAAGGAACAGAGCCCCCCACCCCCGTCCCCTTAAGGGGGATTTGAAATTTGTTTCACCTTCTCATTTTGCGGCCAGAGTTTGAGAGGGATGGATTGGCCGATTTGTGGCAAGCAGCAAGTTATTGAAAGGTCACTTGCAGGGGGTCCAAAGCGAGCCAAGTTGCAGCTCTCCCTCGGAAGAAGAACCCTTCTGAGAGTAATTACTCAATGTTGTCATTATCTTGGGGGAAATTTTCAAGAGGACCTCCTTTCTGCAAGCAGTGTTTGTTTGCTTTTTGTTGTGGTGGCTGGGCGTCCCCGCCCCCCCACGGAAAACCTATTTGTTTGCAGTGCTTCCCCCCCCAGCCCGCCTTCCGGATTCAACCCGGATTCAACCACAGCCAAGGAAACTTTTGGGCCCAAACCCAGTGGCTGTCCGCCCCCATGCCGTTGTGAAGGTGGACCAACCAATTTCTAAGTGCGAGACATCCGCCAACATGGAATGGGCGACTTTTGGAAGACTCTTGGAAAGGCAAGCTGTGGACTCCCGTGTTGCTGGTAGGTGCTTCGATTTGGGGAACAAATAAGCGTCCTGTTTTCCGCCGCAAGGAGAGCCGAAGGCTGGCCGGCTCTTCATCACAGAGGAGCGATTCGTGTAAGACTCGGGGTGTCTCCCGTACCCAAAAGGCACATCTGTTCAATCGCTTCCCTTTCCCTACCCGCTATTTAGCGCCTTCCGAGCCTTTGAAAGATGACCAAGTGTCAAGGGCTGAAATTCACCCGGCCTTGTGCCGTCAAACACAAACATAGAAAGGCCTGTTGGACAGGAGCAGAGTCTTCTTGTGCTTTTGGAAAGGCGTAGGTTTGGTTTAAGGCTGGCGGCGGTGGGCAAAGGTTCTTTGAGCCACCATACCTTGGCCACCTTTGACGGGGCCCCCCCAAAACTTGTTTTTACTTATGCTGTGGATGGACGAAATCCAGCACCACCAAAGGAACCCTGGAATGATTTGACTGCCCTGCAAATACCAGCAAACCTTAGGTGGTGTGAAATGGATCTTGTGCATCCACAGCTGTGTAAGCTTGTTCTTCCTGGCTTGACCCATGCCTGTTTGGATCAGGAGCAGCGGCAGAAAACTCGCTGGATTCGGCTACCGGAACTTCTCCACTTCAACCAGGAGATGGAATGAGGGGGGGGGGGTGCTGCGTGGCTCAGACGCCTTGTTTTGGGCGTGTTGCGTGGTTTGCACCCTTGGACTCTCCATGCTTGACCTAGAAAGGAGTTTGCTCTTCTCACCAACCGCGCACAAACCAGAGCTTGGACCCCATTCTTCGGCGTAGTTGACCTTTTCCCCCTTTTTGTTTTGGGGGTGCTCCACCAAACACAGTGAGCCCAAATGTCTATATCAGAAAAACTGGGTTCGCGTTAGGGTTGGTCCCCCCCAGGCCACTGAAAGTCACCCGTCTTGGTCATGGTTCCTTTAAACATGCATCATCCAGATTTCACTTGTCATTTCAGCCATGGTTTTCTTTACATATCTGTCATCCGCACTTAGTGGGGCCCAAAAGGGACGGTGCTGGGAGGGAGGGAGGGAGGGAGGGAGGGAGGGAGGGAGGGAGGGAGGGGAGAGAGAGAGAGAGAGTTTGCTATCCTGCATGCAGGGGTGGGTCCACAAAACAAACAAACCTGACCCGCTCCCTGGAGTTTGACACATGTGACCTGTCTTCAAGCTGGTGGTGCGAGTTGGTTTGGCAACCTTAAAGGTTGCCCGGGGTGTCTTGAACATTTGCTTTGCGGTGGGAATCCATTTGCCATGCCGCTTTGTCCAAACATGTTGGACTCCCGCGGACCTTTGGGCAGGTGACACTTACATCCAGCCCATGGGTTCAGTGGGAAGCCAAGCATGTTGTAGATTCTGGGGCCTTTGGCACTTGCAAAGGCTTGGGGGATGTGTCACAGGGTGCGCCCTTATGACTGGCACCCTCTTCCTAAGTTCCTGGACTTTGACTGATTGACTGTTTGGACAAACAGTCTTAGTGGCTAACTAGAAGTTCGGACCTCTTTTTCTTGGCCAACCTACTCAGGAAGTGTATGGCCGAGAAGACTGTATGACTCCTTCGGAAATTGGGGGGGTGGGGACAAAATGCGACGTGTGACCCTGAATTTGGCTTCTTCCTCTCTATGTTGCAAGTAAGCCGGCCACATCCCATGGCAAATCGCAGGGTAGTGCATCCTCGATCCTTACTTGAGTCTTCCATTTGCTTAAACTCCCTGGAACAAATAAGAGATGTCCAGTCATGATAGGTCCCCTGTTAAACCAACTGGGAGCCACGGTCAGTTCTCATTCCGGGCAACTGACGAGTCGAGGTCACCTGGGCGTACAACCAGGTTGCCCATGATGAAGGCCCCTTAGTCGGGACCCGACTTGTCCTTTCCAACCAGTGGTAACCTAAAAAGGCCCCTTTCCGGGACCCAGCTTTCCTGTCGATTTCCCTTCAAACCATTCCAGCCAGTGGTACTCCGGAAAAAAAAAAAAAAGCGCACGCACAGTCCAACGTTTGGTTTCCTGCGGTGGGGCCGCGGGTAGTTCGTACAGTGTACATGCAGCGCTTTGCCTCTTTGTGCTGCTTGCTCGGCTTGGATGCACTTGTCCGATGGCCGCGGGAGAGAAAGAGAGAGAGAGAGAGGCATGGATGGATGGATGGATGGATGGATGGATGGATGGATGGATGGATGGATGGATGGATGGATGGATGGATGGATAGACAGATAGGTCAATAGATAAATAGATAGATAGTTACGGGCGACTTTTGGACACGGTCGGCCGCGATCTCGCAGGAGATCTCCACCTCTGAGCTGGAGCAGCGTGGCCAGTCGGAGCTGGCCTGGAAGGGCCGGGAGGCCCAGATGGCTTGCGACATCCGCTCATGCGACGAAAGGAAGCCATGGTTGAAACCATGGTTGAATTTACAAGGGGAGAAATAAAACCCTGGTTGAAATCAACATGTTTATTGGAATCTTTAAGGAGGAAATCGTGATGCCAGGGTTTCTCAGGTGGTGCGAAGCCAGTGTTTTCATTGGATTGTTCACCGGAAAGTCATGATTCGCGGGTTTCTTAGATGGTGCGAAATGGGGTTCGTCCATCCACAGTAGCCTCAGTTTTTTTTCCCAAAAGGAGGCCAAGAGGCGCTGGAGGATTTTATTTCTAGATCATTCTGTCAGCTGGATTCGAGTAGTTTCGGGTTGGTTAGGTCTTCATTTACCAGTGGCACCCATCTATTTTTTAGCACGGACACCTCCGTACTCGTTTGCGTATGTATGGTCCCTGGTCTTTCCACCTGGAATGAGGCCTTTGAAAGAGGCCTTTGCTCTCAGAGCTCAAAGTGGCCTGAAGGCTCATGACTTGTTTCAGGCCAAGGGGAAACCGCCGTTTTGTTGGAGGTCATGTTCAATAGTGTGCAGGAAGCCACACGCACGCAGCTTACCAATTCCCACATGTGAAAAACAACACTCCAATTTAATTTGGAAGTTCTAAGTTCACAATCATGGGCACACATTTGACATATTTCTTTGTATTTAAATTCTTGAATGACAGGTGGATAGGGTGGACACCCTAAGAAATTGCAAGTAAGACAACTGCAAACCGTGGGTTCCCCTGCTTGCAATATTAAGAGCGCCCACCGTAGTATAACTTTAATTCATGGTGCTTAATTCTGTCAGGCCTTCCATGTAATTTCACGCTTGCGTGTGTGGGCTCGTATGCCTGACCGGGTGGTATATCGGGAGCAGGCAGGCCATTGCCAGGGAAATCTTGGGATCTCTCATGCGTTTCTTTTCCAAGCCTGCCTGCAAAAACCTGGGGAGACGATTTGTCAATTTGTTTCTCGCATTTCCGATTGAAGTCCAGTTGTGATGGGAGCCCAGGCTCGGTAAGCTTGGGTCAGTGTCCCTTCAAGGGGATCCTTCAGCTTTCGGGAAACATAAAGGCCTGTCCACTTGTATTGTTTGCAAGAGGATGTTTCTCAGCGAGTTGGAGTGTAGACACGCTGGAACCTTCCGTCCAATCAAGAGAAGGCATCCTTGCTTGTTTGCGAAACTCACAGCAGCCAAAACTCTGCACGGATTTCTGTGTGTTCGGGCTTTTGTTGTTTGCTGGGAACATTTTGTCAGATATCCGGTCGAACGGAACACAACAGCACCAAATTTCGACTGGCCTGAGTCGCCAAGGCATGAGCGCGAGCGATTTGGCTCAGGGTACCTCGGCCTGACACGCGAGGAAAGTGGCCAGGACACTACAGCAAGACAGAACATCAGGGAGCCGCCCTGTTTCAATTTGTTTTTTCGGTGGGCTTACTGCATTCACAAAAGCCATGGGTAAGACTGAACCTTCCCACGCGCACGTGGCCGTCAAGGGTGGAAAAGGACGACATGGTTGGGGCTGGTTGATTGCGACGGGAACTCGAAGGAAAGTCAGGCAACAAAATCGGCATCACCGAAGGTAGGGGGGCGGCCACCGTTGGGTTGGCGAATGTGAGGCAAGCCGCCCGCAAAACTGCTGACGACCGCGACCTCAACACGCAAAGGTCATTCCAAAGACCGTTTCCGACCAACAAATTCAGATACATTGATATTTCACCTCCACTGCACGCCATCTTGAAGGAGTATCTAATCCCAAAAACGGAAGTTCCATAAGTTCTAGCCAAGTATATTAACTTGTGTCCCAACTCAACTCTATGTAGACAACTGACTTGTAACTGGTGCAGAAGCATTTGGACACTCATTTGACTTAGCCCAACTTGCAACCTATGTTACCGCGAGTTATAGCATATTTGAGGCAGACTCATGACTGTCATAACGCAGCAACCCCCTGTAGGCCCGGGCTTGTTCGAATTCAGTTTATGTAGTTGCCCCCTAACTGTTTATCACGCAAGGGGCCTTTAAACATTTCCAACACCCAAAGAATTCAGGGGACACCCAAGATGATGGTCTGGTGCTCAGTAGGGAATGAGGGAATAAACCCAGGTGTCCCCTTAAAGGACACCACCGGTTGGATGGTTCATAGGGGTCATTCCATTTCTGATTCCTTGCTGAGCACTGAGCACCGGCAGGAAAAGGGAACCCTCAAAAAGACACCCTTTTGGCTGGGTCATTCCATTTCTCATTCCTTACCGAGCACCAGCAACCCTCAAAACGCCACACAAGTCCATTTGGTTGGAGTTCCGAGGTCACCTGGGGAACTGCTGGCTGGTGGCCAGCATCGCCACCATCGTGAAGCGCCCCACCTGGATCCGGAAGCTCTTTGTGGAGGCGGACCTCGTCGCAGGCGGAGCCGAAAAAGCGCCGGGTGGGGTGAGCGGGTGGATCGATTTCTGCCGGGGATGCCGCCGGGTGCATCGCGTATGTGGCTGGGGGTCTAAGATGCGAGCGGGGGTCCGGAGAGGGTATCCAAAGTTGCCTGAGAGCTCTCGACAGATAGAGAGAAATAGAGAGATGTAAAACTTCAGTGTGCAAATGTTTGAACCTGTGTGTGAGCGGCGGCAGCTGTCGTGCATCTGTTTTCACATGTGCCAGCTTGAACCTGTATGGCTCAAGGCCTGTCAGGGACAATGTCTACCTCATGTACACACTGCCCTAATGTATTCATGGATGTCTCTTGACACCCTTCTTCGGATTGTACAAAGCTTGTACACTCCGTTCAACAAGGCCAATGTTTGAGGGCAGATGCAGCTTCTAAAGTTGCGGGTGTCGAAAGAATGTTGTCGCTACTGTACAACTCCTATTCGACAGTGCCCTAGTTTGTCGAAGCTCTGTACACGCATCGTCCGTGAGAAGCAACCTCATGCGCAAGACTGTGTCCATAAGCCAAACTGTTTCCAGAAGCAAATGTATCACAATCTCTTCTGTGCAGTTGCTTTCTCATGGTTGCCAAATGTTGCAGCGCCAATGTATCAAGGTGCGGCAATGTCTGAGTGTAGGAGCCTGTAACCCCTGATCTGTTCCAGCACTTGTTCTTGCTTGTGATTCTCTCTGGCTTGTTGAGCAAACTCCGGTGTTCCAGGCGCAGGGTGATCAATGCAGCCATTCAAGATGATCTTGTGCTGCAGAATGTAATTCTGCACCCGTTGTCGCAAGCGGTCTGGGATGTTCATCAGGTCACCGAACGTCAGCAAATTGAATGCCATTGCTGCGGCTCCGTGTCGAAGGTCACCGACATCACACTCCAACAATGTCTCCAGATGCAGAACGACGTGTTGAACTGTGATGAACCCATTGCGGATGCTGTACATGGCATGAAGACTCCAAATGTCTCCCATAATCTTGTTCACCCAAATCGACGCCTTTTCCGCCAGTGTGAGCTTCAGCGCTGCGCTTTTGTCCAGCTGTAGTATCTGCGACGAATAGCCCCGGTTGAAGGGTACAAGCACCTTGCGATAGAGCATGTGGAACAAGTGATGCGTGTTGATCCAGATATGGATCAAATAGGTTGCACCGAAGTTCCTTGTCGAACAACCGTTGGTATTGTAGAGCCAAAGCATGTACATCAGGCAGTCTATGGGGCTGTACAGGAGGCCTAGTACTTCCATGTGAGGCATGCGCATGTTCCCTGGGATCACGTCGATGTCCTTGGTGTGGCCAGAAGTGAGGTGCTCCACCTCCTCTTCCGTGGCCGGGAGGATCATCTCAGTGTAGTCTGCAACATTGTCTGGCTGTTGCCCTATGTGTCCTGGGACCACTTGAGAGGTGAAACCCGGTGGAATGTCCGACCTCATGTGCAGGGTGTGATGCGCCCTGTGTTGCGCCATCGCCGCACTTGAGCTGCACTGCTCTACAAAAGAGGTGCAAAATGGCTGCAGGTTTCTAAAGCAACTTCGAAGACATGCAGGTGAAAGGAGAAAAGATGTATCGGGATGTGTTCCCAGTGTGTCCTGAAACCATCCGAAAGTTATGGCAAAGAATTGTCCATCGCGCGATGTTCTACTGTGAAACGCTGCCCCGCTTGTACTTGTTATTTTAAAACAGACAAGTGACAAAGTGCGAAGGTCGTTACGGTACCACAAGTACGTGCAAATACTGTGGATGTTACTGAGTCGCAACTTGTCGAACATTACGTGTGTTACATACTGTTCAACATGTGTGAAACTGGCGTCGTGGTTGTCACATCCGAGATGTGGGCCGGTCTGGAAGACCAACCTTGTAGAGGTGCTTGTGGAGTGTCTCTGTGTTCACTCCTTTGGTGAGGATGTCTGCTGGGTTGTGCTCTGATCTGATCTTGTGCATCGAGATCAGTCCGTGTTTTACTAGTTGTTGCACAAAGAGGTGTTTCAGTTCAATGTGCTTTGCTTTCTTTGATGTGCCTTCTCTTATTGTGATGGATTTTGCTGCGCTGCTGTCGGTGTGTATCTTTAGGTTCGTTTTGATGTCGAATGCTTCCTGTACAAAGTTGCGTATGTACAGGCCTTCTGTGCATGCTGTGCCTATGGCATATAGCTCTGATTCCGCTGAGGAAAGTGCTACTACTGCTTGTGTGCGTGAGTGTATGCATGTGCCGAGGTAGTGTATTGCAAAGCCTGTTGTGCTCTTGCGTGTTGTTTGGCATGAGCCCCAGTTTGCGTCGGTGTAGATGTCGATGTCGACCGGGACTCGCTTGTCTCCATGCTGCATGACTGGTTGTATTCTGTGCTTGTAGTGCTGTGTGCCTTTTAGGTATCTGAGCAAGTGTTTAACTCTCTGGTTGTCGAGTTGTGTTGGTGCCTGTAAGGAACGTGCAAGTTCCTTTGCTGCAAAGCAAATGTCTGGTCTGGTGTATGCTAGCCATTGTATCTTGCCAGCTGTCCTTCTGTATGCTTTGTGTTCCTCTGTGTTCAGAGGTTGCTCTGTGTTGGTGTCTGTCTTAAGTGCTGGTGAACATGGTGTTGGTGCTGGGTTGCAGTTGCTCATGTTTGCTTCAGCCAGGATGTCGTTGACGTACTTGTCCTGCAGGCTGATGTCCACGCTGTTTCCGTTGTGTGTAATCTTCCTTCCGAGAAAGGAAATTGTTGTACCTGGTTGTAGTTCACCTGTGGGTCGTAGAAGAACCTCCTTCTCGATCTGTTCGAAGATCTTGTCGATGATGTGTCCTTCTCCAAGTAGAAGTAGGTCGTCGACGTAGATCATGATGTAGGCTGTCCCTTCCTTGTTCCTGTAGACGTTGGAGTCTGTTTTGAGTCGTGTTAGTCCAAGCTTTGTGAGGACTGTTGCTATGTGATCTTGCCACTGTTTGGGACTGGACCTAAGGCCGTACATTGCTTTGTTGAGCCGCCAAACAATGTGCTTGCTGTTCTCATCGTAAAATTCTTGTGGCGGTCTCATGTGGATGTCCGTTGTTGCTGCTATGGCATGTAGGAATGCCACGCTGACATCACCTGTGCGAACTTTCCATCCTTTTGCTAGTGCTGTTGTGAGAAGTGTGCGAAGGATGCTGAACATTGGTGTTGATGCGTACAGTGTGTCTGTGTCTGCTATGTTTTCGGTGTAGCCTTTTGCCACTGTGCGCGCTCTGACTTCATCTCCTTTTGGTTTCAGCACCCACTTTGATTCCACAATGTTTCGTTGTTGTTCCGGCGTGAGTGTTCTGATGTCAACCTCTGTGAAGACATTGTGTTCCTTCATTTGCTTGATCTCTTTCTTCATACCTTCTGCCACCAGTTGTGGGTCTAGGTCCTCCGTGTTGGTGTTGTTCAGGAATGGTTCTAGTAGTATTCTTTTATTTTCTGCTTCCTGTTGATCCTCGCAAGATGTTGCTTCTATTGGTTGTCCTGTTTTGTTGTTTACTGTGATGGCTCCAATCCTGAGCTTCATTTTCGGTTGCTCTGTTTGCTCTGGCCTTTCCTTCTGCTGTTGCGCTGCTTCCGTTTTCTGTTGCTTGCTTGTGCTTCCTTCTGCTATTTCATCTGCACGTGTTCGTGTTGGTGGTGGTAGTGGTGGTCGTCTTGATGTCGTCGGTGAAGTCGCCATTGGTGATGTAGGTCCAGCATCTCCAGGAAGAAGTCGTTGTTGTTTTCTTGGTGATCCATCCTGCTGCGGCGCTCGCTTATGCTCGTTTGTTGTGCTTGTTCCTGCATCTTGCGTGCTTGTGCGTGAGGTGTCTGTTCCTGTTTCTCTTGTTGGTCGCGCTACTCTTGTTGCGATCGGTGCTGTCGGTGGTGGTATGTGCCATGGTCCTGCGTTGATTACATCCATCAACTGCTGGTTGTATTTGTGTGGTGCTATTGTTCTTCTGACTGTCCTTGCTCGTATGACTCTGTTGCTGATTCCAAGGATGTGTTCCCCTGTGCTCTCATCTCGACCCAACCAGATGCCGTCGAAGAAGCGCTGTTCCAGTTTTGGGTATTGTTTGAGTGTCGGAACCATGTACTGCACTGTTTCTCCAAACTCGCAGAGTGGAGTTTGTGGGTTCTTTTGCCACCTGTTGAAGTAGCTTGTGTGTCCGTTGCTGTGAATGGCATATCTGTTGAGGATGTAGGCGCTGTGCCTTACCATCCATGCCATTAGTGGGTGTTGCAGGCTGATCTTTCTGTTGTAGTTCTGTTGAAGTTGTGCTCTCAGTGTCCTGATTTGTCCAAACAGTGTGCGGTGTGCTCTTTCAACGCTTCCTTGTGATTGTGAGCTGTATGTTGGCGAGAACCTCACTTGCATGTGTCCTACTCTGTGTGCTGTTGTTTTGATCAGTGCTTTGAGGTAGTCCTCTTGGTCGCTCTGTAAGATGGCATGTGTGCGGCCGCATTCCAGAAGGAATGTCTGCAGCTGTTGTACTGCGTGCTCGAACTGTTGTTGCTTGTCTCTGATGAGCACTGCCATCATCATGCCTGTTTGTATGTCAATTGCTGTTAGAACCGGGGTTGTCTGGTACGCCGGGTCGTCAAAGCTCTTCAAGTACGCGAAGTCAAGTTGTATTACTGGGCTTCTGCTTGTTTGTTGTTGCTGCTTGTGTGCGTCTGCTTTGCCTCTTGATTGTGTGCATATTTTACACCAACTCCTGTAGGGAAGGTGTGTGAGCTCATGTTCTGCTAGTTCTTGTGCTGTTGGTTGCTTCGGTGCTGGTATTGCTTTTGCTCTGTGTGCTTGCTGCTGTGCTTCTTCATCATCTCCTGGATGTAGTTGCGTGTCGTACTGCGCATTCTCCTCGAAGTTGGTCGAACCTGTCCACAGAAAATCGTGGGATTTGTTGGGCTGCGTTGTCCACTCGTCCTCGATGTACTTGTGCTCGTTGTTGTCGCCGACCTTCGTAGATCTTGTACCGCGGAAGGGCGAGTGACTTGGCTCTTGTTGAAGCACAGGTCGCTTTGTGATTCAGCTCTACGACATGGCAGCGGCGAGGTGGGAGATGGTGGAGGTCAGGGCTGAGCAAACTTCGCGCAGTAGAAAACATGTTTTTTTCTCGGAGACAAACAGTCGGCATTCGGTGTTTGTTTTGTTTGAATGTTTGCTGTTCAATTCCTACATATAATGCTCAATCCTTCCCTGGCTACGAAGGGAGTTGCCCCTGTTTGTACGGGCTTGGCCAACCCTCCGTTTTGAACAGCTGGACATGCCATGCCCACTTCGGATGAACGAACACCTTCACCTCAATTAGGGGTGGTTCACCTTTGAGCGGGCAACTTGTCAGTTTGAGCATGATCTTGGATTAGCACAAGTATTGAGGTCAGGCACTTTAACTGACCCAGTTTTGCAAACTGCACTCCCTCAGGCTAACGCGGAAGCTCCCAGAAGGCCTCTGTAAATCGAACCAAGTCTTCCAAAGGGGTCCTGAATCGTCTGAAAAAGGTAATGTTTGCCACTTATTATGTCAAAGGCCCATGCATGGCATGACCGGCTTTCCGCTGCCCGTTTCGAGGTGGACGACTTTGTGCCATGCACGCTGGAGGACGACTGGTCCGAGGTGCCGTACGCAGAGCAGGCCACTCTGTTGGGTGCATTGAAACAAGCAGAGAGAGAAAGTGAGAGAGAGAGAGAGAAAAAAGAAAAAGAAAGAGAGAGACAGATAGACAGACAGGGAGTCAGAGAAACAAACAAAACAAACAGACTCGCAAAAGGAAGCGGTTTAAATTACTATCGATGGACCAAAAAACCGCACCAGTTAAGATAGATGACACTCTATCCAACTTCTTTGTCCATCCGCGTAGTCAGGGTGCTCCAAACCTAACGACCAAACCTCAAGGGTCGAAATCGTGTCCTTGGTTTCCTATATGCCCTTGCGCCAAAGCTTATGTGCCAGAGCCCTCCTGAAACATACACCTGGCACCATGTGATTGGTTTGTGGGAGGAAATGAAGGTCTCCCACAAGACATGCGCCAGCTGAATCTGTGGAACCTTCAAACACGGGAGCCTACTGAAACGCACGGTATCAGCTCAGGGAAAGGTTCGGTTTGAGTTGGCCCCCTTCACAATGGAACTGGGGAGGGGGGTGACCCCTGGAATTCCATTTATGGTGCCATTTTCCTTTTTGTGGGGAAGAGTCAATAAATGAAATTGGGGGACCCCCAACCCCCCTCCCCTTAAGGTAGGGCAGTTGGGACGATAGCCACATGTAGCTCTTGAGGACTGTTGTCACACACACCCCTTTTCGCCCGAAGCAAAAGCATGTCGCCAAAGGAGCTATGGTGCCAGGGTTCTGCACCCTGCACGTGAAGAACAGGTTTTGCAGCAACAGAGGGAGTTCCCCCGGGTCTTGTTTGCGCAAGGTGCCCCTTCCGAGTTGCTACCCTTTCAGCCGCGGTCTGACCATCGCCATGTCACTACGGGAAACAGGGGCAAAGGCGCGCGTTGACCAAACAAGAACCCCCTCTCCCATGACTCATCAGAGGGCGTGTGACAGTCAGAGGCGTATTTCGTCATGATTGGAAGCCATTTGCAGCTTCAGTCCCTGACACGATGAGTCGGTCGGTAATGTTGGCACTTGATTAATAAAGGCTTTTCTCCCTGAACAATGGAGGCGCCAAAACAATGGGGGTGCACTTTTGGGACGTCCAAACAATGGAGGGTTTTGGGGCCCAATTCTACTTTAGTATTGCAGCCACTTCCTTTTTGCAGTTCTACTTTAGTATTGCAGCCACTTCCTTTTTGCAATTCTACTTTAGTATTGCAGCCACTTCCTTTAGTATTGCAGCCACTTCTTTTTTGCAATTCTACTTTAGTATTGCAGCCACTTCCTTTTTGCAATTCTACTTTAGTATTGCAACCACTTCTTCCTGAGCAGACTTTTTGGAATACTACTGTAGTATTGCAACCACTTCTTCCTGAACATACTTTTTGGAATGCTACTTTACTATTGCAACCATTTGACAGGGGAATGCTTTTGAGTAAGGCAACTGATAGCTTATTTTCTGGGAGGGGGGGCTGGGGGCTTGCCACTATTATGGTCCCCTAAAACAATCACATTATTGTGGTTCAGTGGGGTCTGTGAGGGGTACCCTTGTCCTGATTGTTTTGTTTTTTTTTGCATTTGTTTAACACGGTTTAATAAAGAGTTTGCAGTTTCAGGGCTGGGGATGGTTTTCAAATTTCAGAGGTTTCAGCTGGCTTTGGGTTCTGTGGTTGAGCAACCAATTGAAAGGGGAATTATTTTAAGCAAGTGGGCCACCAATTGAAAGGGGATGCTTTTATATAAGCAAGTGGGCCACCAATTGAAAGGGGAATGCTTTTGAGTAAAGCAACGGATAGTTTATTTTTTGGGAGGGGGGGCTGGGGGCTTCCCACTATTGTGGTCCCCTAAAACAATCACATTATTGTGGTTCAGTGGGGTCTGTGAGGGGTACCCTTGTCCTGATTGTTGTTTTGCATGTTTGTTTTAACACGGTTTAATAAAGAGTTTGCAGTTTCAGGGCTGGGGATGGTTTTCAAATTTCAGAGGTTTCAGCTGGCTTTGGGTTCTGTGGTTGAGCAACCAATTGAAAGGGGAATGCTTTTAAGCAAGTGGGCCACCAATGGATTTTGGGTGATTGTTTGGGGTGGGGATGTTTTTTTTTTTTTTGTTTTAATTAAATTTGCTTCGTGGAGTTTTTTTTTGGAATTTTCCCCCTGGCCAAAAAACTTTCTATTATTCTGGTCCCCTTAAACAATGGGTGTGAACCATAATAAGGAAAAACTTTCTATTATTCCGGTACCCTTTACTCATCGAGTGCCAACATTAGGCAGGTTACTGACTCCCTGGTCGCCCTGGACTGTTTGCCACGCGATGTACATATTTTCGACCATGACCATGTGGCCGGCAGTGTGTGCCCACCAGCTATGGAGTGGGAACACTCCGAATTTGCCACCGGTTGTTTCAACTGAAGCCCTCTGAAGAGTCAGGAGGACGGCACCCGGGTCTACAACTACAACGACATCTACACCAAGCAGGGCACCAAAGCGCTCCGCAAGAGGTGGGTGCCCCTCTTTGGCAGGCCCAAGGGCCGACAAGCCACCTGCCAGCAGCAGGCAAAGTTCAGCATGGGCAAAGTCCATGGAGCCATGATGCATCCTTAGGTTTGGGGCTTAGCGCTTAGCCCCTTAGACCCCTTCGAAACTAATAAACGGATTTTCCATTGGACTAAGAGAGTCACCCCCAAAGCTAGTAAGGTTGCAAGCATGAGAGCCTTCTGGTGATGTATTTTGGAGGCCTATCAAGGGTAAGTGAAGCTTGGGGGTATTTCCTGCAGGGGGCCAGAGACCAAGCGATAAAATTGAGGTCACGATTCAGGGTTGAACAAGCAGGGAGCCTTCATGTCGGGCTTCATGCCTGCCCAGGCAATCAAGTGCCAGACCCAACCAAGCACTTTGCGGTGTTGCTTTTTTGGGGGGTTCCGCTATTTTCCGGACAAAACCAGCCAACCATCAACTTGTTGGCAGGTCTAAGTTTAGCCGTCAATTCAGCAAGGATGCCCTTGCCAAGCTTGGCGAGGTTCGGATGTATGCCCTACGCAAGGTCGAGCTTCTAAACCTGAGTCACTGGGAAGATAATTTGAGCATTTCACCCCACGTCGCTACCATTTTTCCCATCAGCTGAAAGCTTGGAGGGTTCTGGAGGTTCCCAATCCGTGGAACTGGGCGTGAGTTTCGAAGCTAAGCAGCAAATCCCTCTAGGTGGTATATCACCTCACAAAACCCATCCTTGGAAATGGGTCCGTCTTTTTGCGGGTACTTTGTTTTGGTTTAAGGGGAAACCAAAACGAACACCAATGTCTGGGGTCTCCAAGTCCCATTTTACGACACCCCCCAATTCCCTGGATTTTATGTTTTTTTTTTATGTCCCCTAAGTGGCATATCATCTCACCTCCAAAAAGACATCCTTTGATAAGTGCTCCTGTTGTTTGTTTTGGTTGTTATTATTATTGTTATTGTTTCTTTATTTGGGCGGGACCGGTGTGTGTGTGTGTGTGTTTACTAGCCAAAAACGCAAACACATCAACCTTATGCAGGCTGAGAAGCAATTTTGACCCCATATTATTCAACCCAGTTTATTAGTAGGGGGTGTACCTGGGTGAAACGTGGGGAATCAGGCCACTTTTTGAGAGGCCCCCACCTCCTTTTTGATACACTGGGGTTGTTCAATATGGGGTCAACGTTGAACGCCCTTGACCAACGCGGGTGAACAGAGAACGGTCCGAAATCCTAGATTTGTGGACGAACCTTCTTTCTTTTTTGTTGGTTGGCCAACCAAACAAATACCACCAGCTTTAGCCCACAAAAAGAACCCCCTTTTTTTGCCAACCAAAAAACAAACACCAGCTTTAGCCCCAAAAAACCCAGACACCACCTCCACCTGGGAGCTTCGAGCGTTTCGCGTTTTTTCCGGAGGTTTGGGCGCTGATCCTGGAGAAGGCCATGGCCAAGTTCGTGGGGTCCTACGCCAACCTCTCGGGGGGCACCGAGCCCTTCGCGCTGATGGCCCTCACGGGGTTCCCTTTGGTCTACGTCTTCCAGCGGCCCCCCACGGATCGCACGGAGCCATTTGGCAGGGGGAAAAAAAGCAAGGGTTGGTTTGAAGAACTGGGGTTTGGGGGCGGGACATTTCTACAAGACATGTGTTGAGACAGGAAGCCAAGTGAGGTTTGGCCAAAAACCATGCTGCAGAAAGGATTTAGCCAGGGGTTGGCGCCCTAATTTTACTTATCCAAATTCGTGAGGTCCCCGTTTGGGGGAATCCCGTTACCAAGGACCGCGGCTCGCCCGAACCACTGGCAGTGGCGGGGCGCCCAGTACCACTGCCGAACCTCCACGGGCATCGGGTCACAGCAGCCTGGCAGCGCTTGGTCTGTTTTGGGTTGTTGGTGTCTAAGGGTGAAATTACATACCCCTTGTTCGTACCCCTTGCCTTCCCTGGTTTCCAACCCACTTTAAAGGGGTATATTCCCCTTTTGGGGAGAGGGGTATGAACATCGGCAGGCCTTTTGGATTCATTTTTCCAAGGGGTATGTAAAAAGGGTACGTACAAGCACCCCTGGATGGTGTGGTGTCGTGTCCTTTTTGTGCATGGCTAGCTGATTGATCAACCGCCTTTTTCCTTTTTGGCTTTGCCAAAAGGACGCCAACAGCGGAAGGTTTATGCTTGGCCCCTCTAGCTAGACCGAGTTTGCGGTTGTTGGAATGTGCCTGGTGAATGACTGGCTCGTCAAAGCCAAACGCTCACACGCATTGTTGCTTTATATTCTGAAACTAATGCATTTTAAAGCTTTCACGGTGGTGTTGAATCAGGATGCAGACTTCCTTCAAGCAGCAACCGGCAGCGTATCTGTACCAGCGGTTCTTTATTGGTTTGGGCTTCTTGTCACCGTGAGGAATATACTTTGTAGGGCCCCAAACGGATCCTAGGCCACTGCCTGTGCCGGATGATCTGCTGGACGAGGACAGGCGCCTCAAAGTTGGCACTGGCTTGGGCTGTGAAGGGAAGCCAACGAGAAACCACCTGTTCTTCTCAGCTGAAAGCTACGGGGTCTCAGATATGTCTCAGGCCCCGGAGTGGAGCGGTGTTGGGTTCGGCTTGCGGAAGGGTACCCGGGAGTTGGTGTCAAGCATGCAGGTGCGCGGGCGCCTTTTTCAAGATGACGTTCCACTATGAACATGGAGCCGGTGCATTTGATTGTTTGTTAGGGGGAGGGTGCCCATTCTGTGCGAAGCATAGCCAGCCCACCGAAATGGGGGAGGGGGTAAACTCACCCACGAGAAAGATACTTTGGGTACTTGTCGTGCAGAACATGTCCTTTTGACATCGTTCGTGGGACCTGTCAAACTGCATCGTTTGACACTTTCCAGTCACAAACAGTAGCTGGTTGCCAGGATCCATCAGGATCCTAAAATGGCAAATATCGCTGGACAGGAGCTGAGGTAGTAAAGAAACCCCATGCAAGTGTCATTTGGAACCCTCTTGATGCTTCTTAGGATCCTCATACAGGATCAGAAGGCAGACCCTGACTATCACAATGCTACGTATGGGCCACCCAGCATCGGGGCCTAGTGTATGGTCGACATTTTTCGGGGTGTACCTAGGCCTCTTGCCCATCAAAGGCTGGAATGTTGACGCAGGCACTTTTGTATGTTCATAGGCGGGCGCTGCTTGTTGTCAAAGGGCGAATTTGATAGGTCCATGTATGAACCCATGGGCATTTTGGACCCTTTGCACGCTGGTTCCCACAATTGAGCCAGAACTAGCGGCTAAATACCAGGGTTCACATATGGGCATATACATTTAGCCTTTGATGTTGCAAGCGGGGTTGCGTGGGTGAGGCTGTGTTCTGCGATCTATGTGGCACCTGGCTCCATTCTAACCTTTGTCCTGGCTCGGGGGGAGCCAACAAGAAATGGATGTTGTGTTGTGCTATATGATCAACTCAGCAACCGAGTACTGGGTGTTAACAACCCAGTTAATTTTTCTCAAAGGAAACCAAGAGGAGATGTCTCATTGAAGTGTACGCCATGCTGCGACTGTTTGGGGACCCTCTGTTGTGCGCTGCTACTGGGCCCTTGATTGAGTGCGGACCGTCAAAGTTAGACATACCCCTCTCTTCAGCCTATCACTTGGGGGCTGACTTCGGTGAATGGGGCAGGCATTGTACAACAAGTTCCGGCCCAGGGCAGGTTACCAGGAGAAGTCCTTGACATCAGGCGAACAAGTGCCTGCTAAGCCGGGTTGGCTCACCTCGTTTTGAAACAGACCAACGGCGGGCAAGTGTTCCTCTGATTTGTTGAGGCCTGAATTTCCAAGTTCAGTGGTGGTTTTCCAGGGCTCCTTAAAAGATACATTTTGCCCATTTGAAACATGGCTTTTTTCACCAAAATAAAGGGACACCACCATTTACAAGGCAATGTTCAGGTGTATAATGTAAGGATCCCTGATTTTCCCATTGAAGCATACTGAGGATGGGTTTCCGCAACCCAGCCGGAATGCTTCCCTTTTCCAGCAGGGCCAATGCCCGACTGAGAACTTTGTATCTGGGAGGGTTTGTTGAAGCGTCGGCTTCCCTGAGCAAAGACCTGTGGACCTTCTGACCCTTGGGTGTTCCCATTTAGTAACATTTTGCTGAGTCGTTTCCCCAATTGGGCAGCCTTTTATTCACTTGTTTTGTTTTGTTTTCCCCATTTTCTTTTTGTCGTAGGCTATAGAGGGGAACATGTTTTGTTGCACATGTATGGAACAAACAGTCGTTTATTCACGGGGGTTTTCGTAAGCTGTATAGGGGAACATGTTTTGTTGCACATCATGTATTGAACAAGCATGTTGACAACAGGAAACATCCTTGGCTGCCGTGGGTTGAAGCTCTCGTGCCGCGAAAGGTGTGGCTGGGGGGGGGAGCTTTGAAATAAGGGCCCCGATACCTAGCAACGTTGCAGATTCCATGTATGCTTGGGCGTTCCCTATGTTCATGTTCACTGTTTTGGGGGGTCGGTGGATGTGAACCTCGCTCCTCGGACTTGGGATGTGTTTGGCACCGGTGCTCGACACCCGAGCCATGAATATGGGAGCCCCCCCGCCACCGATGTGCTTGCCATCCATTTGAGTCGATTGTGCTAGGAGCTTTGGCCGAAGCTGCTGCAGTACATGCAAAGAGCTTTGGCTAAAGTTGCCCCCATAGTCTCATCAACCCCAGTTTGCTAATAGGGGTTGTCAACCTGGGTGTAGTGGGGAACCATCACCTCCGGAGGGGCCCCCACCCCCCTATTAATAAACTGGGGTTGATTAAGAAAGAGTCAACACTATTTGGAAAGGGTTCAGGTTCCCTTGGATTGGAGTTACCCTCCCAACAAGAAATCATGGAAGCTGAGACGAGGGTTCTGGAAGACTACTTTCCTGTTGGGGAAGCCCCCTGTCCACTTCCATGATTTTTGGAAAGAGAGTGCAAAGGCTACAAAGGGTATATACCATGTTTTTCCTTGGTGGTATTGGCTTGGTTTCCGGAAACCATCTTAGATCACTGGCACTTTTTGTTCGGTGAGTTATCTACTCATGAAGATTGGTCAACCGCAAGAACAGTTTTGCATATGGGCCTGGGGCCCTTTTGCGACGGGAAAAATGAATTCGCGACCTCACCAAGTTCGCGACCGAAAGCCCATGAGGAAGCTTCTTTTCTTGATCCTTTGTTACGCATCGTCTTTTGTCGACCTTTGCAGGTTTAAAAACAACAAAAACACTTAATCCTCAATCCTTATCCCAGATGTTGGCTTTCCTCGTTGTGTTGGTCTCTCACTCCGGCTTACCAACAAAAATACGGAAATCCCCCCCGCCACCCCCTCTCCATTTTTTGACAAATCCTGGTAAGTTTCCAGGTGTTGATCACACACCAAACCAACCCCCCCACTGAAAGCCCCAGGCTTCCCCAGGATTAGCTCCCCTTTTAGGTGTTGTTTTTTGCTTTTTTGGTCCCCTTTGCTTTCCACTCACCAGGCAAAACATAAACAGTTTTGTGTTGGGGTCCTAATTCCAGCCAAGCATTTGGGTACCCTTAATTGGTGGTTTGGATTGGTTTGGGGGTTTGAAACCCCTGGTTCTTGTAAAGTGCAAATGGAAAACCACCCCACCGCCAAACCACGAATTTGGCTCCAAACCACCAATTAGTGGGAAGCTGATTGTTTCAAGGAAAGCTCCAAATCGAGGTGGTTTAAACCTTCCTGGAGGCTTTCACGGAGTCAAGTTGAAAGGGTTGACCACGTAAGCCCCAAACCCCGACAAAAAGCCCGGGAGCCTCGAAGGAAACCGACTGTCCTCCCGATTCCTCCCGCCTTCTTATCCCATCTGTCGAGGGCGGTGCCCAGTGACGACGTCCATCACGCGCTTCGCGGCGGTGGCGAGCGCACGGGACTACTACCGCCAGGACGTCTCCCTCGATGGGTAGGGAATGAGAGCTGGAATGAACGCAGGGATTCCCTTAAAAGAAACCACCAGTTGGATGGTTGATTTCGGGTTCATTCCATTTCTCATTCCCTACTGAGCACCGGCAAGAATACGGTGGGTGGATGGACGAAATCCGCTTCTCGCCTCACCCACGAGGTAAACAGATGGGCGAAATCCATTTCGCACCACTTGGAAACCATGGTTGAAACCCATGTTTGGTTGGCATTTTCGTTGGGGTCGCAAGCCTCAGTATCATTCTCACTCACTGCGGTCCTGGCCTTTAGCCACTTTTGGGGAAGACATGTTTGGTGACAAAGAAGAAGGTTGCACTGCCGACCCACTCAGGAAGTGAGTAATTATGTTTGTTTAAGTCTGGCAAAATGAGATGAATAATTTGAGAATATGGCTTGGGTGAAAATGGAATGGTGAAAAGTTGGGTTCTCTTTTGATGGCACGTGTAAGCAGCCAACCCAGAGATGGTCCCCCATTTATATCCCCAAACGCAAATTGTCTTATTGAAATAGCCCTTGCTGGGGTCTCCCGGGCTGGTCCCCCTTCCCTGGGTTCATAGCGGGGTGTTGAGGGTATCGATTTCGGACTTGTTTCAAAGAGAAACCGATGCAAAACAGCCTGCTTGGTGGGGTTTCTCCAATTTTAACACACAGTTCTAGTCTTGTGGGGCCGGTTTCAAATAAATGTGGGGAACTGAGTTCTGCTCGCCCCATTTCCCCCATTGTGATGCAAAAAACAAAGCGGTTGTTTCACAATCTTCCGCCATCTATTTTCCCAAAGGCTGGGCTGTTCAAAGGCAATCCCCGAATCCTTACCTTTGGGTTACGAACAGGGTGCCCTTTGTAGTGCTTGTGCAGTAGGGATTATGGACTAGGATTGGCCAACACTTTGAACAGCCCAGAAAAGGACACCTGCGCCAACATGTTTGCCCCAGGGCCTTACATGGGTTTGTCTCAAATGGGTACCCATCAAGCCGACTGCAAGGACGGGCTCATCTCGGGGCACGCCTATGCCATGCTGGATGCTCGGGAGGTTCAGCTGACGGAGCCTGGGCCTTTCACGGGTTTGAGTGGATCCCCCTCCCCCAGCCCCAGATTTTCAGGGAGGGGGTGGTGGTGCAAGGGGGGCCCCTTGTTGTGCCTGTCTGCTGGTTACTTTGCCGCGCTAAAAAGGATATAGCACCAATACCAACCCCAGGTCTCAGGACATCCAGTGGGATGTTTGCTTGAGACGAGTGTTAGAGATCCCCCTGGTACAGAATGCGAAGCCATCCCCTTGTGGTTTTGTGTGTCTATGGGTGGAGCACGGACGGCGGTTTGGCGGTTTGGACGCTAGGGGCGAACCCCATTTGGTTTCAAAAGGAACTAGGCCCAAAAATCCCAAGCAACCGGTCCAAACCACGAATTGGGGGTTCAATATTCCTGGCCACAAATAAATGACCATGGATAGCACTTTTTCAGTGGTGTCCCCCCATGGTCATCCCATGTAAAGGACCTTTGGATCACCACCCAACTACAGGGAAGCTGAGGTACGTAAAAGGGGGGCAATCCGGACATCGCGGAAGTCGGTCAAGCGATCGACCCGGATCAGGGCCGGAGCCTACGCCTGGTGGCACTGAAGAACCCTCATGGGGATTGGAAGGCGGATGGAGGCTTGGAGTCTGGAAAAATGAAACGTGTGTGTGTGTGTGTGTCTGGGGTGTGTGGGTGTGTGGGTTTGTGGGTGTGTGGGTGTGTGGGTGTGTTTGTGTGTGTGGTGTGTGTGTGTGTGGTGTGTGTGGTGTGTGTGGTGTGTGTGGTGTGTGTGGTGTGTGTGGTGTGTGTGGTGTGTGTGGTGTGTGTGGTGTGTGTGTGTGTGTGTGTGTGGTGTGTGTGTGTGTGTGGTGTGTGTGGTGTGTGTGGTGTGTGTGGTGTGTGTGGTGTGTGTGGTGTGTGTGGTGTGTGTGGTGTGTGTGGTGTGTGTGGTGTGTGTGGGTGTGGGTGTGTGTGTGTGGGTGTGGGTGTGTGTGTGTGAGTGTGAGTGTGTGTGTGTGTCTATGTGTTTGTGTTTGTGTGTTTGTGTGTTTGTGTGTTTGTGTGTTTGTGTTTTTGTGTGTTTGTGTGTTTGTGTGTTTGTGTGTTTGTGTGTTTGTGTGTTTGTGTGTGTGTGTGTGTTTGGTTGTGTTTGTGCTTGTGTTTGTGTTTTTGGTTTTTTGTTTTTGTTTGTTTGTGTGTGTGTGTGTGTTTTTGTGTGTGTGTGTGTGGTGTGTTTTTTTTTTGTGTGTGTGTGTGTGCGTGTTTGTGTTTGTGTTTGTGTTTGTGTTTGTGTTTGTGTTTGTGTTTGCGTTTGCGTTTGCGTTTGCGTTTGCGTTTGCGTTTGCGTTTGCGTTTGTGTTTGTGTGTGTGTGTGTGTGTGTTTGTGTTTGTGTTTGTGTTTGTGTTTGTGTTTGTGTGTGTGTGGTGTGTGTGGTGTGTGTGTGTGTGGTGTGTGTGTGTGTGGTGTGTGTGTGTGTGTGGTGTGTGTGTGTGTGTGTGTGTGTGTGTGTGTGTGTGTGTGTGTGTGTGTGTGTGTGTGTGTGTGTGTGTGTGTGTGTGTGTGTGTGTGTGTGTGTGTGTGTGTGTGTGTGTGTGTGTGTGTGTGTGTGTGTGTGTGTGTGTGTGTGTGTGTGTGTGTGTGTGTGTGTGTGTGTGTGTGTGTGTGTGTGTGTGTGTGTGTGTGTGTGTGTGTGTGTGTGTGTGTGTGTGTGTGTGTGTGTGTGTGTGTGTGTGTGTGTGTGTGTGTGTGTGTGTTTGTGTGTTTGTGTGTTTGTGTGTTTGTGTGTGTGTGTGCGGGGGGGGGGGGGTTGGGTGGGTGTGTGGGGCTGTGGGTGTTCGTGTGTGTCCAATTTGGGCATCCCTAACATGGCTGTTTGTCTTCTGTTTAAATCGATTTTTCCCACGGCTATGATGAGGTTTAGTGGGGACGCGGATGGCTGGATGGGAGTCCTTTTGGTCTTCCCTTAACATCAGAAATCGCCAGGCGTCCTTTTGCCGCGTCCTGGGAGCTGCCGTAGATGTTGTTCGAGCGTTTTTGTATTGCTTTCTTTTTTTTATTGAAATAGCCTTGTATTTGTTGCGACCCCCGCTACTGTCAACCCACACCATGGGAGAATCAGGATACCTTGTGTCGCAAGCTGGCTGGCTTGTATTCTGGTGCCCTGGAAATGGGGGTGGGGGCTTATACCTCTCAAACCCATGGCTTCTTCAAGGGATAGTCCCCCCCTTTAAACTTTAACTTTAAAGTATCGCCCAGCCGGGAGGTTCTTGGTCCTGCACCTGGGCCGGCGACTGGGGCCACGAGTCCATCTGCTGGCAAAGGCACCCGGAAGTGGCGATCCAGCTGGAGCCTTCGGCGGGTGGCTGGAGGGCTGGGCTCGGAACGCAGCACAACTAGTTCCCCCAGTAGCGCCCTTTTACCGTTTCTTTTTGGGCGGAGGGTTCCCCTACTAAAATAGATTGAAGAAAAAGTTGGTACCCCTTACCCTCTACTGGAGGACCTAAGGTGTGGGTGCCTTTGCCTCCAGATCAGTTGAACCTTGCCATGCGTCTGCAGCGGAATCCTGTTCTGCGTGTGATTTGTGTGTTTTTTTTGTTGCGCCGCCACCGCTCATTTCCACTTCCCAGCTCTGGTTCACGAACAGGATCCGGCTTCCTCTCTCAGCTTCTCAGCGCCAAAAAGCGTCAAGCGTTCCTATACACAGGTCCCCCACTCATCCGATTTCCGGATGTTTTCTGAGCAATTGCCCGTTGGGTTGCGAAAGTGGGCCTTCGCAACACCGACCGACCCACCTTCAATTGGAGGCATGGGAGGGTCATCACATAACCCTGACGGCCTGCTCCTTTTCCGATTGGCTTAAGGGCAGTCGCCGGGAAAACCGCCACGTTGGGGTCCCCCTATGTTAACAGGAGCCTGCGGAGGTTCACCCTCCTCTCCCCAAAGTGGTGACCCTTTTGATTTCCCCAAATCCCGAAAAAGTCGTACACTACCATCTCCTCGGGCTCCGATCGGTAAGCTCCGCTTGCCAGCTCCCTCCGTTGGCAAATTTGGCCGCCGGGCCGCTCCGAGGTTCCGGCCCCCGAGCCAAGTCCCTCGTCCAAGTCCCCCGCCCGGCCTTTCAGTCGGTCAGGAGCGTGGTGGCGCGGTGAGCTTCCAGCCAGGCAAAGGGGTGGGGCCACCTAGGGCGGAATCCTGTGGCTGGGGTGGCGTTGAACGAGGAATTAGAGGGAACCCTCCAGAAGAAGGATGGCACGATTTATCAATGTTAGTTTCATCCCCTTGGCAGAATCGGAATGCCATCTTGCACCCTTACCCTCCCTCACGCCAACGTGGAACACCAGTCCTGGGGGCGTCCATTGAATCCGCAGGGTGTGAGCCCTATGGGCACCTTGCATTTGTGTTTGTTTTGAGACTCCACGGACTTGATATGCCCCTTTGTGGCGCGGTTTCAGGCATCACCTTTTCGGCGGTCAATGCTGTTGTGAATTGCCTTTCGGTGAAAGAATTTCAAGCTTGGACCGTTCCATCTCCCAAACCGCCCGCAAGTTGTTCAGCGGCCTCCAAACACCTTTTGCTTCACCAGCTTCCCCAGTAAAAACAGTCAACC